GATTTTTTCCTGCTTCACAAAGGTAGGCAGCAGCTTGACATGAAGCCATGATGGCAATTATTTTACATTATTATGGTATCGGTATCGGCCGATACTGCACAGCCAGGTATCGGGTATCGGTATCGGGGCCAAAAAAGGGCATCGGCGCAACACTACTAAAAACTCACACATCGATAAATAAAACATTTTTCCATAGACCACCTGTCTAGGAATTGAATAAAGTCAAAACATGAGATAGCAATACTTCATGTTTCTCACCAAATCTGACTTCAAAATACAGCATGGCTGTTTTTATATGTCAAAGTATTTAAAAAAAAAATAATACTTAGTCACAAAAATTTTAAACTATTTTTGCAGCTGCTTTATAGGTACTATATTAATTAATTGAACAAAAGCAAATATGGAGACAGGTACAGTATGAAATTAGAAATGTCAGGGTCCTCGTGGTTATTTTTAATTTCTTTCTTTACCTTGTAATACTCAAAAAACAATGTTTGAACTTTATATCTGATATATCGCATCAAATCTACCATCTACAGTATTTATATAATAAAGAAATGAACAAAACCCTGAAATAAAATAAATATCCAGCTGCTCTTTCTTCTTTTCTAGGCAGAGGAATGAACTCTTTCACTGTAAGCTGTGTTATTTATTTATATATATATATATATATATATATATATATATATATATATATATAATCTTCTGCATTAATTTATTGCAAAGTTGCAGAACTTTATTAAGGACAGGGGTCTCAAACTCCAGTTTGCATCTTTTTCAAATGGATTCATTTCCTCCTTAGCATGTAGTCTGGCTTTACAGAGCTCCTATAATGAGCTAGTTATTTGAGTCAGGTGTGTTAAAGCAGGAACATCTTAAAATTGCAGGAACTAGGCCCTTGAGGACTTTAATTTAAGGCTGTAGACTAAGGAAGATCATTAGGTAGCAGCTTTACTTTCCTAATATAACGTTTTTAAACAAAACTGGAATAATTGGCTGAAAGAAGAGTTGGACCGTAGAAGACTTTGGAGAAAAGGAAATCTATTTTTTTCTTTCCAGCTCTTCATTAAATGGAGTTTAAGAATGCCATTTGTTTTCGTTTTACGGGGTTATGGGAAGGTGAGATGTTCTTTGATTTAAACAAAAGGTTTTCATGTAAATAATTTCCCACATCATTCCCGGGAACAACATCCGGCTCTTTGCCTTGTAAGAACAGCAGCTGATGGTTCTATAAAGAACAACTGTCTTAGCGCAGGGGTCGCTATGATCCTTCCATGTTTGGGTTTTTTACTCTCATTTATTTGTCTTCTTAATTTGTTTTATTTACATGTGGATTCATTCCTTGTATGATAGTTTCTCAGTTCTTTGTACATTTCCTGTGTTCAGCTCCTGTCAGGTTAATTAGTTCTCCCTCCCTCGGCGCCCTGCTTAACTTCTGTCGCAGCCACTCTGTATTCTCACCTGATTAATACATCGATGTCATCATCTTCTGTCTCTCAGTATACAAGATTCCCTCTCCTCAACATTTTCTGCAGCATTCCCTCTTAAGAAACCCATATTTCTTGTTCATCTGTTCCTGTTTTTGTGCCTGGAGTTTTCCTGTTGCAGTTTTAATCTACTAAATTTCTCCATGTTCATCCAACGCACTCCTCCACAACCAGGCAACTTGACAAGACATCTGATGAGACCACCTTTGTTTGCTCTATCCCCTGTGGCTTGTAGAAAACTGAACTCAATATGCTTCTTTCTGAAAGAGTCTGAGAAATGGATGCAGATTTTACCTGAGCAATAAGATCTCTGCAGCTCCTCCTCCTTTTCCTTGAGCCTCTTTACAGCTTCTGTGATTAGCATATTTTGAAGCTTTCTCTGCTTTACCAGACCTGGGATCAATTCTTTGCCTCTCTGGGTAGCACGGCATCCTGTAGGATAACGTCATTCATAATAGAAAACTATGCAGTTATGCCTTTTTATTGCTCTGACATCATACTTCATTATGTTATAATAGCGCAATCTTTCCAATAAAGATGCGTTTGGCTCTTGGTTCAGAAGCATCCAAGTTAGACTCACTTCAGATCTGTCCGATGTTGTTTAATGTGACCATGCAATCAGCCAACTTTCTTTCCTCTTGATCAAGACGCTTTATTTTCCAAAATCAAAACAAACTTAGATTTTCTTACCGCAACATGGCGTGAGAGGCAGATCATATCGGGCTCATTTCGTTCCTTTTTTGCCACTCCAAGAAAACAACAATAATAATCAAAAGCGGTCAAAAATTGTATGGCTGCGCTGACTGAATCCAAAAGCTCACCCGGCCCCAATAGCCGACTCCAATATAATCCAGGTGCTGCAGTCACCTGTCCATAATGAAGGGGCGGAGGCCAGAAACAGCGTAAATTATGAATGGCAGCAAAACACAACTAAACAAATTCATAATTTCATAATTAAGTCAGTCAACTTATACTTCAAACCAAAATATTTCATGTTCATATATATCACACCAAAACCAGACAAAAATAGTAAACTAGAAATAAATATTCAATCATAAATCAAGCAGTTGGCTCCAACAATGTTAGACTTAGATGTATTTGTCATTTTGTTTACACAATAGTAAAACAAAAAGAAATTTCGTTAAGAACAGCTCTCTGGGCAATTTCATTTTTTTTTTAAGTGTAATAGTAAAATAGTAAAAAAATATATAAAAATAGTAATATAAACATATGACTGTAAATGTACAGTTCTAAGATTTTCTGTTTTTTTATATTTATATATATATAATGATAAAAGATAATAAATATAATAAATTACACTACAATTACTCATTTTACAATTCTTATTAATTTTCTGTTGCATAGAACCTCTTCTTGTCTCCCTGAAGCAGGGGAAGGATTTACTATTAGTCAAAATAGGCAGTTGCCTAGGGGCCCCAAGTTCCTGGGGGGGCAATAAAACTCTGTTTACATGTATGGTTAATTAAACTATTCCTTATTTGTGCACATTAATTATGTTTCTGATAAAAATCCTTTGTTAAAATGCCATCAGAATGCTTGTAATGTTAAGTGTGTCTCAGGCTAGTGGTATACAGGGTGGGCTAATGCCCAGGGCGTCGGTTGTATAATGGGGCTGTTTTATGGGTTGTCTTTTTAATCCAAAGGGCCCCCTGTCTGTCTTTGCCTGAGCCCAAAACTTCCTAAATCCGCCCCTGACTGGAGTCATTATTTTATGTTCGTTTCTACTTAAAATTTCTGTGTGCTTTGCTTTTTTTTGTTTCTTTTGTCAAAAAAAAAGTTAAATATATATATATTGTAAAAAAGTCTGTTAGATTTTCATACTATTTGGGTTGCTACTAATTTAAAGCACAAATTGGTCATGCTGGTCACTTTGATATAACTAGTGTTGCACCGATACCAGTATCAGGCGGGGCCCCGATTCAGCACTATAATGGTGGTATCGGTATCGGCGAGTACCAACAAATTGGGCACCGATACCATTTGTGTATTAAATCAAGCTGCACAAGTATATTAACATGCAATGATTTTATCCCATATGTCTTATTGCTCCATCGTTTTGGGCCCAGGCCACAAAGTCTGTTTTAAAACCTTTACTCTCACTTCACAAGCAAGCATTAAAAATATTCGATCAAAAACCGGGAAAGTGGCATCACTGCAAAATTATTAAAAAATACAACATGATGAAATTTGAAAATTTTATAAATTTCTCATTTTTAAAAGCTATTTTTAAATGCCTTAATGGTCTTGCCCCTGAAGTAATCTGTAAATTTATTTTAACTTCTCTTGTTTTTTTATGCATCTGTGTGTCGTTACTAACCTCCTTCCCCTTTTAAAATGCTAGCACCTTTTAAAACCCTAACCAGGGACGAAGGCTGCAAATTAGCCCATGGCTACAAGCCTTATGTACTTGGACATCGGCCACCTGTTTGGTTGCAATGTTTAATTGTACTGTCCCTGTCAAACAAACAAATAAATAAATAAATAAATTTGAGAGCAAACAGTTTCTTCAAATATTGTCACCCATTCCAGGTAGGCAATAAAAAGTTCTACTGGATTCACTTTGTTTTAGTCTTTTTCCTGCTTCACAAAGCCATGATGGTAATTATTTTACATCCTAGTATATGCAGTTCTTCATATATACTAACACCTCAATTTCAAACAGATGGTATCGGTATCGGCCGATTCTGCACAGCCAGATATCGGATATCGGGGCCAAAAAGTGGCATCGGTGCAACACTAATTATAACCTGCAACTGTCAAGATGGGTAAAATGGCATAAAATTATCTTGTTTTAAAGTCCAGAGCTAAATGAAGCTACATTTGCACCTGGATCACTGTAATCTGCAAGATTAATATGTTTAAAAAACTCTTTGCAAGCTGTTGGTGCTTAATGGCTCCATTGAGCAATGGCTCATTTGCTCTGAATCTTCTTGCAAATAATTATGGAACGTATTTCTTTAAAGTACCAAGAAAGACGGCGAGAATATGAGATGTATTGTCAATTTTATACACTCAAAAAAAATAAAGTAATTCAACAGCTTTTGGCATTAAATTATATTAAGCTACTTTAACCCAACTGTTTTACGTCCTAAGTTAATAGAAAACAAAAAAATATTGCGTTATTTTTTCTTTGTAACAACAACTTCTGCTATTTGAGCACTAAGAAGCAGGGTTAATTCCAAGACAGTTCCTTCCTGGATGTGCAGGTGAATGTTCTTGATGTCAAACATGCAGAGCTCAGTCTGTCTGCCTCATAGAAGCTGTTTTATTGCAGAGCAGGACGGACTGCAGCAGAACCTGAAACTCTTTAGGTGTTTAATCCCCTTCGTGACTGATGGTAGGAATCCAGCTGCGGACAGACAGCCCAGGGTGGATTACTGGCAGTTAATGACCGCTGACTTGTCTCGTCCGTGAACGCGCGCTCCCCCAGCCTCGGTCATTGCTCTCTGCGCTCTATGTGGCTGCATGGTCGCTCCCTGGGTTCCGATGCACGCAGCCTTTATCCGTCTGCAGAGCATGCATGTCTGCATCCTCCAGCCCAGAACTGAATCGACAGGATTTTTTTTTTTTAATCATCTTTTTAAATAATTCTCATTGTTGCGCGCAGCTGTTTTGGCCACAGCCAGGCAGGCACTGCCTCCAAATGGATTGCTCCGTCTGATCTCAGCAACACGGTGATATGTTGAACTGGAGGCTCCGAGTCAGCCATCAGTTCCCAGGCAGGACAAAGAAAACTATTCAATAAACATTTGTATGCTGCAGACCCCGGTGGCTCCAAACCAGGATCGTAGGGGGAGAGAAAAAAGTTGGAAGTTGAAGAAGGGATGGTTATGCATTGAGTTCCGCACAGAGCCGAGAACAGGTACGTCACGTTTCGAACTATATTCCTATGGAAACGATGCTTACGCACCGCTTGTTGTGCGCTCTCTGCTTCCACATGGGTGCAGCGGTTCCGTGACATTGAGGTGCCTTTCATGGGAAGAACAGCTGTGGTCCTCCTGCGGGTATCCACTGTGGCACAGCAGATGCAGAGGATTCCCTCAGCGCGTCTGCAGCTCAATATGTGTCAAAGTGGCGAAGCGGAAAAAAAAAAACGCAGTGGAGTTTTTGTTTGCATGATCTGCGCCAAGCAGGATATATTGCATGCAGGAGAGGTCATTCTGAAGCACAGCTTTCTGTGAAGGGTCAAGGTAGAGAACTGCAAGGAAGGTCCTGAATCCGATGTGTTCCTGCTGCACCGCAGCATCATCCGGTCATTCAGCTGCAATAAAACTCAGGATTTTATCTCAGTGGATGAATNCACTGCTCTTTGCGTGGTTTGTTTTCAAATGGTTTGCTGCTGTCTGTTTGGACCTTTCTGAACATGTGCAGCAAATGGACTGATCCAATATGGTGGACACTGAAGGGGGGGTGTATTTTAACAAAAGGATTTTTATCAAAAAAACATAATTAATGTGCACAAATAAGGAATAATTGTATTAACCATACATGTAAACAGAGTTTTGTGGGGCCCCTAGGCACCTGCCTAGTTTTGTCTAATGGAAAATCCTCCCTCACTTTATATAAAACTCTCTGTATTTATTCATGTTTTGCCAAAGCTGCCTTCTCATGCAAATTGCATGCAGCAAACAAGATAGACAATTTCACATTATATTTATAAAATGTAATCTTCAGCAATTCTCATGACGTCATTTTTAAGAGTACAAATTTTTTACTGTAAAATGTTTGTAACTTAAACAAGAAAACGTTAAAAAGTCTGTACTGAGCTTACAGGTGGTAAAAGTGTCCATATGAAGCTAAATCAAAAATAATTAGAAAAATATCCCGAGCAAAGCAAAAGTAGGGCTATGCTGACCATCCTCTTATGACGCTTTCGTCATTTTCTTTTGGACACTTTTTTCTTGTAGTCAAAAACGAATAAAATGTACGTTGTAAAGATAATGTAAAATAAATGTAAAACAGAAAATGATAAATAAAAAAGAATAAATGGCTCCACTGTAGCTGTTGTTTCTAGCAAGAAGAAAAGACTGGAAATTTAAAGAAGGGTGGGTTTGCATCCCAATTCATGTCTGCTGTTTTTCCAGACCTTTCACTGCGCTATCTAAACATTATTAGTACTTTAAAAAGATATATTTTTCATATAATTATATTTTTTAATATTTTGTTTTCTTTTTTCCTCAATTATTTTTGTTCCTGTAAACCACTGCAGTTGACATTTCTTTTTCTTTCTTTTCCTAAAGTCCAGCACTTTGAATTTGTGCCTTTCCTTGTTTTTCTCTCCCAGTTTTCTAAAAACTCACACATCGATAAATAAAACATTTTTCCATAGACCAACTGTCCAGGAATTGAATAAAATCAAAACATGAGATAGCAATACTTCATGTTTCTCACCAGCTCTGACTTCAAAATACAACATGGCTGTTTTTATATGTGAAACTATTTAAAAATAAACTTAGTCACATAAATTTAAAACCATATTTGCAGCTGCTTTATAGGTACTATATTCATTAATTAAATAAAAGCAAACATGGAGACACGTACAGTATGAAATTGGAAATGTCAGAGTTCTCGTGGTTATTTTTAATTTCTCTCTTTACCTTGTAATAACTTTATATCTGATATATCTGAATTAAATCTACCATCTACAGTATTTATATCATTAAAAAAATTAACAAAACCCTGAAATATAATGAATATACAACTGCTCTTCTGTTTCTAGGCAGATGAATGAACTCTTGTACTTTAAGCTTTGTTATTTCTCTCTCTCTCTCTCTCTCTCTCTCTCTCTCTCTATATATATATATATCTATATATATATAGATATATATATAGATATATATATATCTATATCCCCGCCATCAATGTGAAAACAGCTTCTGCTTTGCTTCCCGTTTCCTTTCGTCTCAGTAAAACTATTTCTCCCCTCTTTGCTTAATATCAGATACTGTAATTAGCTGCTCTTTTTTTCCTTGTACTCACTGAGGGATGCTGTAGAGTTGTTATGTATTGTTAAATCACAGGTGAAGGCTGTGCAGATGCGTCTTGCTTTGTTTTGCTCCCCTTCTGATTTATTTCCTCCAGTGCATGATCTACATTTTTTCCGTGGCGACACTGAGCAGCAGAAAGCCACAGCCCAGCTGGCGAAGCCCCTCAAGCTGCAGCAGAAAATAACACTGCGGGACGCCGTTAACTCTGGGATGAATATTCATGGAGCATGTGTGTGTGTTTCTTTCTTTTACTTCAGGATTTATTGCTACATGTTTGTATAAAGTTTCAGAATACAAGAGAAGGGAAAAAAAAAAAAACCTAACTTCCTAATGTCAGAGGCTGAGGCCCACACACCAGCTGTAGGAGCCTGGCGGCCATCGCACCTTGTGACATGAAAACTCTAACAGACACACAGATGCCAGGACGATCTTGATGAGAAGCCCTGCTGAAATTCACACTTCAATCTCGCTGGAACACTCTCTCTCTCTCTTTCTCCATCTAAGGCCTCTTTATCTCTTCCTCCACCTTGAGCTCTCTTCAAGCCACCCAGTGCTTGTGTGATCCCTTACCCTATTTGATTGGCCCACCCTTCTTGCGCTCCACCATGTTAAACTATATGAATCAAAACAGAAGCAAAAAAACTCTCGGATATGGACGCCATCATCGCTGACTGAATTATGAACACATTCAGAAATCAGTTTGCTCTCAAGCCGCACGTCTGCCCAAACACGGCTGCTTGTTTTCTTTTTTTCTTCTCTAATCTGCAAGGTGTGTTAATCACTGTAGACGGTGTGCTATGTGTGCATATGCAGTCTTAAGTGCTAATAGGAGCTCACACTAGAGAGCAGCAGGCCGTGTCAACCGCAATCTCCAGACAAGCCCTCAGGGTGTCCTATTTGGCATGAGCACCCGGACGCAGACACACTCACACATATATGCACTAATGGGTCTGCTATGTTTAGACTTGACTTAAAGACCCGAGAGCTACGGGTTCCCTGAGACCATGTCTGAGCTGGACATTCACAGCTGATAAATTGGATTAACTGAAAGGCTGTAGATCTGGATGCCTTTAGAGGATGTTTGTTTTAAAGATTCACCAACCAGGCTTTTTTCTTTTTTTTCTCTAGCCTAGATTCTCTATTTTCACGAGTTCTGAACCAGAAACTGACCAATTCCAATTTTTCATTTATTTACTTATTTAAACTCTACCACATAAAGAGGACTTGTGCTACATGTCTTTAATATGGATAGTTTTGAATATA